TCAGCTCCCTGGCACTGTAGAGGCCTCAGGCAGTGACGCAGTTTCGTCCCTCCTGTTCTCTGCCTGTGGCACACAATAGTTTAATCTCCTGACAGCTGTAATGTTTTGCTCTAAAATTCTGGTTGAGAGGCTGCGTGCAGGGGTAGTACTGTATTTAATGGCCTGTGATATATCGGAGGCCCAGCTAGATCCAATTGTCCTTTCTGCTGTGGTGCTGTAACAATTTGTATAGTGGGAGTGCTGAAAGCCATTGAACCAAACTGCAAGTCTTGTAGATGATGGAAACCACTCCAAGCCAGGGGGTGCAGGAGCACTCTCAGAACCCCTTGTTCCAGCAGCTGTGCCTTTCTGGATTTTAAATGCTATGACCCTATATGGAGGTAGCCCTGTTTCCATTCACGGAGGTGATGGATGAAAGTGATAAAGCATTCCTTCCAAGAGATTTCTTTCAAGTGAATCACTGCTGTAAGCAGCTGCACACCTGGCAAGGTCTATGCAGGAAAGTTCATGCTAAACAGAAATAAAGTCATGCTCAAATGTTAAGTTGGTACAAATTACTTTGGGGGAAGTTGTAAAGTGCAGGAAAATCCCTTCTGATCACTGGAAAAGGTCCCCACTGCACTGGAGTCTGACCCTGGCCCTTGACACAACCATGGCACTCCCATTAAACAGAGGGCAGAACAGTAGTACAAATAAAAAAAATAAATAAGTTGTGTCCTTGGGTCTAGACACTTTGGGAAGATGCTGAAGAGTTCCCACCAATCAGCATCCAGCCACTTTAGGCATTCTCAGGACTACAGAGGTCAATCCTTCAGACAATCCACCAGATTCTGGTCTGTGGATTTTTTTTTCCAGTGGGTGTAGCTTTGGTGCACTTTGGAGACCTTTGTTCACTGATCTTAACTGCAGTTTTGTCAGACCTGAAGAACACTCATGCAAATGCCCTATTCAGGGTCTAGTTATTACTATTAGTTGTAGTAGAGCATTAGAAGGCCCAGGTGAGATTGGGACCCATTTGTGTTAGGCACTGTATAAATACAGACAGTCCCTACCCAGAAGGGCTGACAGTCAAATTAGATATAACAGATGGGGGTGGGTGGGAAACAAAGGCAGACAGGGTAAAATGATAATATTAGTGAGGGGGAAGGAACAAGCGAAAGCAGGGAAAGAACAGGTTAAAGAATATTATTAGAGACGTTAGATGTATTCAACTCAGGAGGGCCTGACAAAATTCACCTTGGGATACTTAAGCAATCTCAGAACCATTAGCAACTATCTTTCATTCTAGCATGAAGCACAATAGAACACAACCCTGCAAAAGCAGCATTATTGTACACTCCTCTCACACTCAGCTCCAGCCTGGGCAGATTCTTGCTCAATAGGAATAATTGCCTGCCTGGGTGTACAGCACACAGTGGTTATTGCCAGGTCCTGGGCATACGCAAGGTCATACACCATGCCCCCTAATCTCAGCCTCTCCCCCTGGCTCCCACTACAGAGTGCTCTTTGGCCTGGCCTTTCTGCAGGCTTGGAGAAAACTCAGACAGGAAGCAGAAACTGCTGGGTGGGATTCTCAAGAGAGCCTGCATGTCAATGAAATAAGACTTGTGCTCCTAACTCTCTTATGCATATTTGAAAATCCCAGCCTCTGTCTCCCTGCTGACTTTCCAGTGGCTGGGGTCTTTAGCAGGTGCCCAAATACAACACTATCTCATCAGCTATCCACTGAGCAGCCCTGCCTAGCCTGTCATAAGCACACTGTATCTTTTCAACTATAGGTACCTTTAATCCTTAGTTTCCCAGCAGGACAGAGTACAGCACAAGAGGGACCTGCCACATGACTTTCTTTCCTCAGAATATCCCCCTTTACTGCCTGTTCCTCCCCGTTATATATTCTCCCAATTACTGAGTCACTTGTCTCATTAGCCCAGCAACTACCACCCAGGTGTCAGCAATGCCAAGAGAAACTGGTCAATTAATTTCACTCAAGCTTACAGTCTTCCCAGTATTGCAACCTCTTCAGTGCCCCCGGTGCTACCAAGAGTACCCTGTGACAGACAGCCTGGCCAGTGTTTGGCCAAGGGCATGTAACTACTTATGAAACAGTAAACGGTGGAATAAAACAGTTGAGTTGGAAGTATGTTCTGCAGCAGTAAGGTTCTGGCAGCAAGAGTTAATAACAGCTTGCCCATCGTAACAGAGAGAGAATAGCACTGAATCGGTGATAGCCCCAGTAATCTGCTGCCATAGAGGACACACATGCACCCTCTGTGTCTGCCTGTACATGTATTTGAGGGGGATGTCTGTGCTCAGAGTTCCATTGGTGGCTGACAGTTAAACCCCTCCATCGATATTCAAGGTTCTGGTCACCGTCTACAAAGCCCTAAATGTCAGAGACCGCCACTCAACCTGTGTTTGTTCGGATGGGCCTAGGGCATCCTCAGCAGCAAGCCCTCTTCTCTGGAATTTGCTCCCTTCAGAAACTGATCTGAGCCCAAACCTGGCCACTTGCAGACAGAACCATAAAGTTCACTGCTTTGTCCAGGCTTTTTCATAATTTCTGAATCTGCCTCCCCTCTCACCTAGCCTGCTGGCAATGGCATTCCTCTTCCTCCTTCTGAAGGGGATGCTGGTTCTCATGGAATATTGATCTGTCTAAGGCCTTGGTCTCTGTTTAACCGTACACAGGGCACCTCCAGTACCATGGTGGTAAGGGCCTGTAAGAAATACAAATAAACCATTTCTGCCCTCGTGCACAAACAGGACACCGGTTAGCTTGACTAGTATTTGTGTACACATTTAAGGCCCACAGGTACTGGTGGCATTGCAGTGTATTGCTAAGGTTAGTAATATACAGAAAAGAACTTAGGAAATAGAGTCTAGGAATAAGACTTTTGGGGGGAAGGTAGAATCCACATGGTTTGGGGCTGGATGAGGAAGAAGGGAGAATTCTATCTCTACCAAAACGACTACACTCCATACGGTTCATGCAAAGACACCACTGAGCCGCTTTAGCTATATATAAAGCTGCCTTGTAACCCAGGAATGGGAAGTGCTTTTATATAGCACTTCCCATTCCTGGGTTACAAGGCAGCTGGTCTTTAAACCTCTGTTTTCTTTGGCATGGTACATGGCTCATCTGAGATAGCCCACAATTAACAGCCGGGCTGCTGCACATAAAGTGCAGCATGTCAGTAATATCTTACCCACATTAGAGGAACTGAAGAACAACCCTCCACAAGCCTCAGAGCATCATAGTCTTTGGTAGAATACCATGTGACCAAGGTCTGGCAGCATGTGTAATGTGCTTGTGGAGGAGTTATGGGTTTGCTGATGGTGTTTTGAACTGTTTATTAGGGCTGGCTGAAAATTTTCCATTGAATTTCCCTCCCCCTCCCCTTTTTAAAAAAAAAAATGGAAAATGGATTTTTAACTAAAAATGCTTACACCCCTTGGAGACAAAGACTTTCCTTGTCTCTGTTACACCATCCTGACTGAATAGAGATAGTTGCGGCAAGAGCAAGGACTCTCTTAAAGAGCCTGCCCCTGCAGTTCCAGATCCATCACTACATGAGTTGCATGGAAAGTGAGTAAAATGGTTCCTTGTTCTCACTCATTGTCTTTTACTGATGCTCATAAACAAGCACAAAGGGAGTCACAGCTGCTTAGAAGGGAGCCCAGCTCTATTGACGTCATCAGGCCTGAGGTGCTCAGCACTTCTGAGAATCAGGCCCTTAGACTGGAAGCTCCTGGCAGGGACCATGTCCTCTGCCAGTTTTGTACAGGGCTAGCACTCCGTCATCACTCAATAAATAACGGGAATACACAGTCATGCAGTTCTAGCATGACTTGCTCAGTCGCTCCCACTGCCCTCTTCCCCGCCTCATCTCTCCCTTATTCACAACATAATTATTAGTCCTCTTGAGACACAGCAAGAAATGGTTGACTGACTGATCCCTGTTATATCCAAAGCTGCATGAGAAGCATCTGATTTAAAAAGCCTAAGGCTATTATTACTCTAACAGCAGCAGCCAAGACCTGGGCTTGGCAAACGTCTGACTTTCCATATCCTCTTTCAGCTCCTTGCAGATGGTAGGGGTTGACGACTGTTCCTCGGACCTTTATCCCAGATACTCATTCTCAATACAAGCAATAGACAGCATAGTAAATTACTACCCAGCTCTCAGAGCTATTGTAGCCCACAGTTAAAGGGAGAAGCAGATGGTTACCACTGGATTTCTTCGCTTTTTTTTTAAATCTAATTTTGCCTGGTTGAATAACATGCGTGGAAATATTTATCTGTCTCGGGAGCCAGCCTAAGACCCTGACCCTCCATGCTGTGTGTTTACCAGCAGCACTTATGGATGGACTCAGTTCTGAGCTCCCAGGAGTTGCCACACTCTCTCAGATAGGACACGTTTGGCATGCACACATACGCGGGATATGTATGCACAGATTGCATTTGCAGGTGTTCAGCTGCTACCCAGCCTCCTGCTTTGCCCACCCAAATCCAAATTCATGTGCCCCTGAGATCATGAGGAGCTTGGTGGAGATCTCTGGCCTGTGTTCGGAGCAGGTCAGACTGGCTGGTCCCTTCTGGCCTTAAAGCCTGCTGAGAGTATGCACACAAAATTGCACCTAACCCTTTCAGAGGCCAGACTGAGCTGCCTAGGAGGATTATTTCTGTTATATTAGTAGTGTGTGACAGTGCCCAGAACATGCTAAGCATGTTCCTGCTCTGCAGGCCAGAAGCTGTGGCCCAACCTCCTTCCTACTCCTTTCTGCACCAGAGGGGATTAGGGAAGGAGTAGTCCCTGCACTCCGCAGAACAGAGGGACGATAACTGCGCCCACGGTCTTTATGCAGGCCATGCTCATTTCCCTCCCCACCCTACACTGAATACCCATGTAAGGGCTGGGCACAGCCCAGCCCATAGTTAACTTCCTTCTTCTTGTCCGGCACTCTGTATTTTCTCATGGCCATTTGTGCTTTCTGAACAGGTGTTTGTTATGCTGAGTTCGGAGTGCGTGTCCCGAAAACCACAGGCTCTGCCTACACCTACAGCTATGTGACCGTTGGGGAGTTTGTGGCCTTCTTCATTGGCTGGAACCTGATCCTGGAGTACCTGATTGGCACAGCAGCTGGCGCAAGTGCCCTGAGCAGCATGTTTGACTCCCTGGCAAATCACACCATCAGCCGCTGGATGGTTGACAGTGTTGGAACATTAAATGGACTGGGTAAGAATTAGACTAATACTCTTGTCATATAATGTGTAGTTACGTGTGTTAATCGGGACCTAAAAGGCAACTGGAACCTCCTTGGAAATCAGACAAGGATCGCATGCTCTGTTCACTATTACCTCTGTCAATGGCAGTCTTGCTATTGTAGTTACTTGCGGGCATCCCAGTAGAGTTGGAGTGAGGTGGCAGCTTACCTCTCTGACATCAGGTGTGCTGCCATGCCCAAGGTCCCCTCCTTCTGTGGTTCTGGTTCTCTCCTCTGGAGGGAGCCCTCCTCTGGCTATTTTTTGGGCTTTTGGCGCCATAGCTAAAGCACAAGTCTTTCAAAAGAAAGCCCAGTTAATAGCTGCCCAAAACAAGTCCCTCCCCCTTCTTGGGCAGCAGCCCTCTGCCTAGGGTCTGTGCGACCTGCAAGTCCTGTTCCTTGATTACAGGCATCACTTTCTCCTCTTGTACCAGGGGCTGACCCATCCTTTATTCTCACAAGGCCATGACTTCTCTCTGAATCCTTTCCCTTCATTTCAGGGGCTTCCCATCACCCCAAGGGCACTGTAAGGGAGCCCAGGCTCTCTACTACTCCAGACTCAGGCCCTGTGACCCTGTGCCATGCAAACTGCTTGTCCGCTCCAAACTGCCCTGCTCACAATTCCCAGTGCTTCCTCCATCCAACTTTCCCTACCTCACCCTGGACCTTCTTAGCATCTTTCCTGGACTCCCTTCCCAGTTCTTCTCAGCAGGGAATGACACCAGCACTGGCCAGGTCACCAGCCTTGGAGAGCTTCCTTACCCCACTGCTGTCCTTCCCTTGACTCTCCTCACCTTCCTATTAGCAGGGGACCACCAGGCCCTAAGTACGGGGGAGCCACCCAAGTCCCATTCCCTCTTTACACCAGGAAGGAGGGCTTGTCTTTTATTCTGTCTCACCCTTCCCATCAGGCCTTGCTGTAGCATAGAGTCACCTAGGAGAAAAACCAGGCACAGATGGAACCTGGGCCTGGGCCTGACCCTGACATTGTCCCATGCCTCATCCTGGCCTGGTTTTGAGATTGTCTTGTGACAGGTGGGTTTTCAGGAGGGAATGTCTGAAACGGCCAACCAATCCTGGTGAGTGTTCCCTCCTCACCTAAGGCCTAATCCTACAAGGTGCTGAGCTCCCTCAACTTCCACTGAAATCTGCACTTTGCAAGATCAGACCCTTACTGATTAATGCAGATAAACAGGTGGAAGTGGGAGCCTGTTGTTTCTTCACTGGCTCATGATGGAGGAACCTTAATCCAGGAGTTAAAGACCTTTGTAAGTGACTATGTCAAAATACTGCTGCTAATCCCTTCATTCACACAGTGACTCTCTCCTGCTGATATACACGGGATGCTGCTCAGACACAGGGCAGTTTAAAAAGTCACAAAACACAGTGTAAAAGTGGAGACAGTATTTAAAAAGCCAAACAGTCCGGGATCCTCTCAAAAGAGTCTGGTGTTTGCAAATGCCCTGGGGCCGCTAGTGATTCCAGCTCCAAAACTCCCCGAATACTAAAGATTACAAGAAGAGTTGGATAAACTGAGGAAGGTGCCTCCAGGGAACATGATCCACAGGCTCAGGCTGACTATAGCAAAGGTCCTCTTGACCCACAAGCAGGCACAGTGCTGCACTCTCATGATCACACCCACGGAAATACACAACACGTGATCCAAGTGCCACTCATCCTGGATCCTTCTCACTGCCCCGTTTGATCAACAGCTGATGTTTGCAGTGCTCACCGTTCCACTCTTTCCACAGCATTTTGTAGGCTGCTTTGCCCTGCGCTAGTGATGGAATTCGTAGCCTGGCTCACTCACCCCTGAGGAGTTCTCCATCTGGTGACACAATTGGAAAACATTCGTTGGCAGGAGGGAGCATTCCTTGATGCAGTCAGGGGGCCAGAATAAATCATTTTATTGGTACTAGCAATGGGTTTGAAGCAACATGTTTTGCTCTAAATGCAAACAGTCTCAAAGCTTGGCTTGTTCCAATCCAGGGTTCTAGTTCAGCTTGTCTTAGAGACAGGCTCAAGGGGTGAAGCTGGGAACTGCATCTGGAGTGGAACTTCCCTGCAATTTGGGCGGGAAACAGGTTTGGGGCTTCTATCTAAGCCCATCTCTAATTTATACCCATCAGATGGAAAACAACCTGTGTTTTATTCTCTGCATTTGCTAAAGTTCTCTCTGATTACTGTGGTATAAGAACACTACATGGTTTCAGGGGGGTGCCTATCACACGTACACACACGTTGATGAAGATAACTGCTAACTGAAGCAGTGTGCTTCCAATCTAGTACAGCAGCAGGTGAGAAAGTGCATACACAGATGCAGTGTTAGTAGACTGGCAATCAAAGCAACTGCTCCAAACCCCAATTCCTGGTTAATCAGATGGGCTGCATCTGTAAGGTAATGAAAACAAACACTTCTGAGCACCCAGCCAATGGCAGTCTTAAAGCTAAATCATAATATATACATTATGCTGTTTAATTTTACATTCCCCTGTTATCATCAATGCCGAGTGACTCACCAGACGCAGATGGCAGTCTGTGAAGCCAGTGGAGGGCTTTCAGGGTTCAGGGATTCAGCAACCTGGCTTCCGCAGACAGGAACCATGCTGCAGAGCCATTTTTAATCATCACCTTCTAGATTTCCTTCTACAGGGACCAACCAGCTGCCTGGAGCACAAAAATCTAGTAACTGCTTGTTAATTTCAGTGATTTCGCTATTTGTCTAGCAGACCCAGTACTACTCTGTGGCAGATGCTAATGAGTAGCAATAGATCACAGTTCTGATAAATGTTTCATACAAAATTAATGTTTGATTCATTTTTAATTGGAGGCTCGCAGAGTGGATGACTAGGTGATTTTGGAAAATGGAGGCATGGTCATACAGTTTAGGATCTGAACTTTCGTTCTTTGCTCACCCACAATTCCCTTTGACTTCAGGGCAAGGAATGGAGGTGTGTCCTTTATCCTGAATGAAAAATGGTAATCCATTCACAGTAAACAATTTGACACATGACTGAAAGCACTGGGAAATGCTGTACTTAGAAGAAACCAATAGGCCAGTATCCTGGTTCTTACAAAATGCTTCCTAGGAAGGTTCTAAAACACGGCAAGACACCTGGTTGTTGTGCCATTCTATGAAATGGTGTAAATGTCTTCCTGACCCTAGCTAGTAATCATTTTATAAGCTTGGGGGTGAACGCCTTTGAAACGTATCGTAGCTAATGTAAGCCGAGGTGCTGCTGCACATTAATTACTGATAACCGTTAATCCTTTGCATTAGGATCAGAGCAGCTCTACACATTTTTATATTGCTCCAGAATCCAGAAGGCAGGGGAGGGGATTTTCCTGAGGTCCTCGCTGTCTCTCTCTCTCTCTCTGTCTCTGTCTCTGTCTCTCTCTCTCACTGTGTGTGAAAAGTTACACATGTATTTTGTTTTGTTTGTCCAGGGAATGGAGAGGAATCATATCCAGATCTTCTCGCTCTGGTTATTGCTGTCATTGTAACCATCATTGTGGCCATGGGGGTGAAGAACTCTGTGGGATTTAACAACATGCTCAATGCAATTAATCTGGTAGTGTGGATCTTTATCATGATCGCTGGGCTTTTCTTTGTCAATGGCGACAACTGGTCTGAAGGGCAGTTCTTGCCATTTGGATGGTCTGGGGTAAGTGTCTTACACACAATCTGGTATGCTATGGTCATCAGTGGCCTTCAACTGAAGCATCCTAGCTGGTCATATAGTGCCCGCACCATATAAGCCACACCACTCCAATTCCCATCTGCTGTGCTAGCAGGTCATCATTATTTATTTGTATTACATAGCACATTGAGGCCCCAACTGAGATCAGAGCCCCAGTGTAGTCTAGATCAGAGCCCCAGGGTAGACTATCAGCTCTTCTGAGCTGGCACTAACAAAATATAACAGACAAAAGCTGGGAGAGGAAACTGAGGTGAAACAACTTGCCCAACGTCACACACATCAGGTCAGTGGCAGAACTGGGAACAGAACCCAGGTGTTCTGACAACTAGTCCAGGGCTCTAGTCACTGGCCCATATTGCTCCTCAGACTATGTAACAACAGAAGTCTTTAGCCACCCTCCCCTCCCCTGCTTCCTTCTTAGAAAGCACCACTTTGGTTTCATCTCCTAGCTCCTTGGGCCATGGAGAGAGGTCACAAGGCCTGATAAACTGGGGAGTCTGGGGAGGACCACAGTCAGAGGGGGTAGAGCACAGGTAAATAGGAGCAGCTGAGGTAGTTTCTGTGCACTGTGGGTACATCTGAGAAAGAGGGGAAGTCTGGTCAGTGGTGGGGAGGGAGCTGTCTGAGCTCTCTAAAGGGAGGGCCAGCGCTGCTGTATACTGAACTCCCAGAGACAGATTTACAGGGCAATAACTGAAGGACTTTCAAAAAGATTAAAGATGAGCCAAAACGGGGACCATTCTTCCAAACCCCCTCAAACCGTGGGAGTCCAAACCATACAGAATCCAGGTCCCAGCTCTGATCCAGAGACCAAACCCTGACCCACCTCAAACTGCTAGACTGACAGCAATAAACTGAAGAGTAAGAGTTTCCAAAGTGCCTAAGTGGTTTAGGAACCAAAATCCCATTGATTTTTTTTCCAATGGAAATCAGGATCCAAGTGACTTAAGTGCTTTTGAACCTTTTACCCAAGGTGTTTTACTGAAGCCCTGCTCTCTCCCAGCTGAATGTGGTGAGTTGGTCTATATTGGGATCTAGATCCAAACCCTCTTTGTATCTGCATAACCAAATCCCAAATGACAACATTTGCCTGTCTTTGAAAAAGTCACTTGTGGTCCAGTCTTCCCCCACTCCATCAGAATCAGCTTAGAACTTTTTCATAACTCTAAGCTCGAGAGCCAGCCATTTGAAGTGATATGTTGTTATAATGTTATTCCAAAATACAGTAGCCATGGATAGAAAAGGAGTTAAGGGAGGGCTAGTGCAGTTTCTATAAAGAGGGGGAAACATACTGATATTTGTTTTGGTTGGTCTTTAGTAAAAATGTTCTAAGCTGTTTGTTTTGTGCACTTCATAATGCCACCTGCCAGTTCTTATTTTATGGATGTTAGCTCACAGCTTACTGAGAATTTGGACAGATTTGGCTTTTTCAGCCTGCTTGAACTGTTTTTTATCCAAGGATGAGCAGAGACTGAAAATATCTCAGCTGGACTAAGGCCAAGATAATTTCTCAGATTTACACTGCTCAACTCCATAAGGTTTTGTACAGAAAAATAAGCAAGAAAGTAAAGTAAACCAAGATTCTTGGTTATCAGAGAGGATCCTGGGCTGTCTGATGTTTTTCCTCCCTCTTCTCTTAAATAAATCAATATTTTCTGCTAGATAAAACCTAAAGAGAAGAAAGAAGTCCCCTTGAGAGCATATATTACATTTATCTTTTGAAGCTGCTTGGCCTTTTTACACCACATATTAGGAACAATAAACAAAGAGAAACAGAAAAAACAGCCATTTCTCTTGTATTCAAACCTATGAAAGACTCAAGGCAAAAGTACAGGATTTAAAGGGATAAGGGGCTTCATCTAAGCCCATTGAAGTCAATGGGAACCTTCCCATTAAATGGGTTTTGGATCAGCTTAAATTTGAGCCCCCAATTTAGATTTTGTAAAAATAATCATGCAGTCTCTGTGTTTAGGGTGAAATTCACTCTTGTGCAGAGGGCCACAATGAGGCCTCAATGAGGCCAGTTAAGTCCTTTAAAATAGGATTTAAATGAGGCTTAAGTGGTGCAGAGGCCCTCTGCAGAGAGGTGAATTTTACCCTCTAGTGCACTGCTAGATAGATAGATAGATAGATAAATAGACATTGCAAACTAACCCGCTTCTTGTGTCTATCTGAGATACCAACACTTTAAAATCATTACCTTTTTTGTCAGTCTTGCATAAAATACCTTACAGAAAGCCAAGGCAAATTCTTTCCATGTCTGTATTTAAATAAAGAGTTGCTCTCCATTTGAATCACAACTCGCCATTTATTTGTAATTTTCAGCCATTGCACAAGCTTGCAATGTTTCAACAAGCTTCAGTGTTTGTTTCCTTGATTTGATAACTGTCCTTGATAATATTGTATATTTAAAGAAAATAAACACAAAATATTTTAACAGTAAAAATAATTCTTCATCCAAGGGTTCCCAGTGGGTGCTGCTAGCCCAGCTGCAGTTTCCATACAAAACAGAAGTTATTTTGAAAGCTCCACACATCTGATTACATCTATTCTGGTCCGTCTATCAGCAGATTTTGCTGTCACATTAAAAAGTTTGCTAATATGTACTGTGTGAGAATGTTACAAATCCCTATTAATTTAATCAGATTTGGATTCTAATAGCATGAAAGCAAGTGACTATATAAAACTGGTTAATTGTCTCATCTGTCACTGTCAGGATCTGTCAATAGATTCAGGGGCTGCATAACTACAGATCTGTGTCAAGCGTTAGTCAGTTGCAGATGACTCTCTTTTAGTGAAAACCCAAACCCCACCAGCCTGCAAACAGCACAGGGCCTCCTGCCTCAAAGGGTGGAGAACAATCTGAGTACTCTCAAATCCAGTAGCTCTCCTAGCCTTGGTTTAACTTTTTTGTTTTAATTTTATTGAATGCTCTTTTATTTCTAGATATTTCATTGTATGGCATGATGTTCAAGCTGCTTGTTGAAAGAGAAGCACTAGATTAAATTATTGGATTCTTGGTTCTCCCAGGTGCAGGCCCCAAATTAGAAGGCTCAGTTTGGGCACTCAGATCAACCTTTAAGTGTCCAAAAGTCCAGTTGAAATGGAACCGGGTTCCTTAGCTTAAGCATCCGTGTTTGAAAACTTAGATACGCTCTGAGCCACATCTGCCTTGCTTTACATAGGCTTATTGACTTCCACTCACGTTAAAGGGGGGTAGGATTTGGTCCAATAGGCACTGATTTCAATGTTCTCACAGAAGCCAAAATCCACTCCCCAGCAGGAATAATTCGGCTCGGCGCTGGGAAACTCTGTAGGAGGAAGTATTAAGGGAAAGCCTCCCTTTAGGCCACTGGGTTGGTAATGGAACTTCTCCATGGCTGCTACTGGAGGCCTCCATGGCCCTGGTGACCCTTCTGTCCTCACCCCTATGTAAAAGTACAGTGGATCCTCCAGCCCTTGATGGGGGCGGAGAGGGGAATACAAGGAGGCATCTCTCATTCTACTAGTTTTCCTTCATGTGTCTGATTAAATCAATTATTTGTGCAGGTGCTAAAAGGCGCAGCTACTTGTTTCTATGCCTTCATTGGCTTTGACATAATCGCCACCACCGGAGAAGAAGCTAAGAGTCCCAACACCTCCATTCCCTATGCGATCACGGCTTCATTGGTCACGTGCCTGACAGCATATGTATCTGTAAGTACCAAATACATACAACGTTTCTCTACTGTGGCTTCTGTGCTGCTTTCTTTAGTGAGATAACGTGCCAGTGAGATCATGTAACAAATGTTTCCTTCTCTGGTGGATGTGCATGACTACATCAGCTGTGGATGTGTCTGACTATATCAATGTCTTTCTGTGGCTGCCCTTTGACCTCCCAGTCTGTTGTTTCCAGGCGGAGGATTCAGATAGTTTCATTCTGATGGGGATCCCATTTCCTGTGCCAGCTACATGGAGCATGTGACAGCATGTGACAGCCTGTCTTTTCCCCATGCATAATCTACATCATCCGATACAAAGGGGAGCTCAGTGTGTAAGACTGCAGCAAAACAAAGAAGAGCACCAGAGATGCAGGACACATTTCCCAAGCTGCATCTTTGGAAGAGGAACCACTTCCACTGCTACAAATTTGGGACACTGCCCAAGGCAGCATAGACCATAGATCATAGGCAGTAACGGGTGTGGGTGGCAAGCATAGAAATGGCAGAAGCATTGTTCTGCTTCTCGGCATCCAAATAAACACACATCTGTCTTCAGGGTAATGGAACAAAACTGAGTGAGTCATAGGGGGAAAATGTTGTTCTAACTGTTTTACCTAAAACCTATCCAAAGGCCACCAGGCTATCCTCTTTCCTTAATCATGGCAGTTACCAGCCAAGTCCCTTCATTTATTTTTCATTTGGATAATTGTTCTGCAGTGAAGGCCATATTTTGTCCTTTGCAAATAATGGTTTAAGTATGCTATATAAGAAACATAGGATGTGTGGCCATTTCTGAAACCACATTTTAAATATTTCTGACTTTCATCACTGAGAAACTGATCTCGTCCATTGTGGGTCCTCGGCAGAAATATAAGCTGCAGTCAAGAACAACCCTCTATACTCCTCCACTCCTACCTCGGTGTCTTCTTTTGTCTTTGATAGGTGAGTGTAATCTTAACTCTGATGGTGCCATACTCTGCCATTGATTCTGAATCCCCCTTGATGGAAATGTTTGTAGCCCACGGATTCTATGCCGCTAAATTCATCGTTGCCATTGGCTCTGTAGCAGGATTGACCGTGAGCTTGCTGGGCTCCCTTTTCCCAATGCCTAGAGTCATTTATGCCATGGCTGGTGATGGGCTGCTCTTCAGGTGAGTCATGCTTTTGCTGTCATTTATTTTTGCCCCCTGATGCTTTGTGACTTGAGTTCAAGTTAAAGGCTCTGCTCTCATTGAAGTCAATGGGAATTTCACCCTAAATTATCTGATGTGCACTTCAGATTATACTGAGATTGCCTGGAGCTACAAGCTACCCAAAATTCAGGGTAGTTCCCTTGTCATTATAGCCACTTCTTTGGGAGGGTCAGGCACTGGAATTTTACCCAGAGAAGCAATTATACTAGAGCTTAGTCTAGCTCCAAACCCCAGTACCGCGGCTTTGCATCCAGGTAAGCGTTACTGTCACAGGGAGCCTCCACTGTGTGCAGTTTTAACGTTCTGTGACTGTTTCACACTCTAGATTCTTGTCCCATGTGAGTTCTTACACGGAGACTCCAGTGGTGGCTTGTATTGTCTCAGGATTTCTAGCAGCACTGCTCTCCTTGCTGGTCAGCCTAAGGGACCTGATAGAAATGATGTCCATCGGCACACTCCTGGCCTACACTTTGGTCTCTGTTTGTGTCTTGCTTCTCCGATACCAGCCAGAGAGCGACATTGACGGCTTTGTCAAATTCCTCTCTGAGGAACACACCAAGAAGAAGGAAGGGATTCTAGCTGACTGTGAGAAGGAGGCTTGCTCTCCAGTGAGCGAAGGGGAGGAGTTTACTGGCCCACTCACCAACACGTGCGGTGCAAAAAATCTGCCGTCGTTGGGTGACAACGAGATGCTAATTGGGAAAGCAGATAAACCCACCTACAACATCAACCACCCCAACTATGGCACAGTTGACATGACCTCAGGAATCGAGGCAGATGAGTCTGAAAACATTTATCTCATCAAGCTGAAGAAATTAATAGGGCCACGTTATTACACAATGAGGATTCACCTGGGACTGCCAGGGAAAATGGATCGCCCGACTGCAGCTACTGGCCGCACTGTCACCACCTGTGTGCTCCTACTTTTCATCCTGATGTTCATCTTCTGCTCTTTCATAATTTTCGGTGCAGACTATATCTATGACGAGAGCTGGTGGGCTATTCTCCTGGTGGTTTTGATGGTCCTGCTCATCATTGCATTGGTATTTGTGATCTTGCAACAGCCAGAAAACCCCAAAAAGCTGCCATATATGGCACCTTGTCTCCCTTTCGTCCCTGCATTTGCCATGTTGGTGAATATTTATCTCATGCTGAAGCTCTCCACAATCACATGGCTCCGATTTGCTGTCTGGTGTTTTGTGGGTAAGTCTTGGATCTTTTAAGTGACTCTGTTTTAAAAGAGCTGTAAAAGTAACTTCTCTGGCAGATGGAAACCTAGATGTCACTCTCCTTTTTCCTCCCTCCCACTCTTCCTGCCTCTCCCCTCCTTTTCTTTACTTTCTGTTCTTCTGTCCCCATTTTTTCTTTTTCCCATGTTCTCCCCTTATTTGGGGGAGATTTTTTGAATACAATATAAATTCCCCCCAAAAAAACCCAAAAAGGGAACTTTACTAATTAGAAAAATTGGGCCACGCTGTCATTCTAACCAGTCTGAGCTGCAGCTAGGGTATAGTACAATTCTCTGCAGCATTTTCAGCTGTGATCCCAAAACACTTTCAAAACTCAAATTAATTCAGCACCCCCGGGAAGTGGCCTAGCATCATTATCCTCATATTGCAAACAGAGACACTGAAGCACAGAGGGGTGAAGTGCCTTGCCCATGGTCACCCTACAGGGCAGAGGCACAATCCGGAATAGAATCCAGGTCTTACTTGCCATCCGACCATCTATGCAGCCAACCACACTGCAACTCCAGCTATGCAGGCTGTAGGGTGAGCCAGTGTCAGGCTGGAGGCTAGAAGGCAGGAAACCTGGTTCACAGTCTCCCACTTTAACCATCGTACAACACCTTCTCTTAAAGCCAGCACTTAAAGGTTAGCATTCATGTTTATGTTTGTATTTATTTATTTATGGTTGCTTTTTTCCACCTCCCACTCTGCTGTCCGGGCACATCTACAAACATTCAGACATTCAGTATCAACATTAAAATGATCATCTCTGCAATAAACTCCTCTCCCACCACTGAAATATTTACATTTGTCCCCCCTATAAATACCCCCGACTATCATCATAATCAAAAGAACAGTCCCACATCCACCAGCCCACCCTCTCCAAATGTCCAGGGGAAAAAAACAGGCCATATAGCATGTCCAGAAGATTAACAAATCTGGGCCATAGAGAACCAAAGCAGGATAAGAATACCAGAGTCAAGGTCCCCTCATGGGGAATATTATTATTTGTATTGTGGTAGGGCCTATGAGGCCCAGTCATGGACCCCATAGTGCTAGGGTGCTGTACAGACTCAGAACAAAAAGACTGTTCCTGCCCCAAATGTCCTGCCAACAGCCCCTTCCCAATCCAATCAGAGCTCAGGATCCTACTTTGATTGCAACTGTGGCCATATGGCACAGGGCGAGAGTTGGGAAGTTGTATGCTAAGTGTTATTCAGCTTACAAGACAGCCTTTTTTAAAGAGGAACAATGATTGACATCCGAGCCAATGGCTTGTCCGCCATGTGTCAGCCCAATCCAGATTCAAGTAGTCTTCTTCTCATCATCATCATCCCTACCAGGGGTTGTGATGGGAAAGAAGAGCAGCTCAGCATTTACCACAGTGATGCCGCTGGGTGCCACTTGAACATTTCCATTACAGCTGGCAGCTGCAAAACCTGGCCTTATCAACGGCTCTTATTGGTAGAAATTTACTCCATTTGACTAAAAGTGAAAAACAATCAACAATGAAAACCCCCTCCACATATGTTATCAGCAGCAGGCAGGTTTTCCTGTTTATAAAAGAATCCAGAGGGACCGGTTGTCCCACCCACCATGAAAGCTGTGTGGGTCTCACTCCCTTATCTGTCATCACAGAACTGCAGGGCCAGGGCAGATTTCAGCAGTTGATCTTTCACCTGCACTGCATAGTTTGGAGGCTGCTTTCCCAAGCCTGTTTTAGGAGTTAGACTTTGCACTAAATCCAGTTTTTAATAGTTTTTTTCCAAAAATAATTTGGGTACCTGTTCAAATTTTGGTTTCTCATAAATGAACCCCTGAAGTTGTTTGATGGAATGTCCTGCAGGAGAAGAGCACCTGAGAGATGGCTAGAGATAAATTGGTTTATTCAGTGAAATGAATTATTCTCCCTTGTATAGCTGCTGAAGGGCACAGCCAAATTAAACTGGCTCTAAGCACTGTCCTGATCTCTTCATTGCAGAATAGCTGGGTAACTCACATAGCAGAATTGATAAGCTTGTGTTACTTAGTGTAACAGCTCATTTCCAACATTTCTAGTCATAGCCCCCGATCCACGTGGATGGGCCCCTTGTGCCTGCAAAGTCCTGTTGATTTCAGTGGGACTCTCCATAGGCGCAAGGGATCATGTGGGTCAAATTGCAGGATCAGGACCATAGTCAGCACAAGAGTTACTGAACCCAGATTTGGGTTCAATTTTTCCAAAAGGCCTAAGTAACAAGCCAAAGAATTAGCTTCATCAATAGTATATTCTGCCCACTCCCAAGCTATCAGGAGTTGATTGAACATTCCTTATCTCAGGCCAGACTTCTGCACCATTTAGGGTACATCTTCACTGCAGAGTTAACGGGAGCTAGCTACGCTCAAGTCTCTCCTCTTGAGTTAGCCTGGCTCATGGGAGTGCAGCCACAGTGCAAAACAACGCTCATGCTGCTGTGTTTCCACTGATGCTGCAATCACTTGTGCATGGCTCTAAGACTCCTGGGGGTACATCCCATGGTTCTGTAGGACCCTGAGCCTTTCCTAATGAATCGGGGAAGAACTTGTTAGAAGGCATTGGAGGACTAGCAGCACTCAAGTGGAGCTAAGCTGCGTCCGTGCTATAAAGGAGTCAAGTTAGCACTAAGACATTTTAGCCTATACCCGCTGACTGGCCAGGCAGCTAGAGCTGAAAGCACCACCATGCTTGATCTAAGGGGTTTTGTGTGTGGACAGGACTCGAGTGAGGAGTAACATTCCGTTCAACTTACAACTCAAGTTACCTCTGCAGTGAAGACAAGCCCTTCTGCTCTTGATATAGGAAAATGCTGTATTCTGTTCTGGTCACTCATTTCTAAACGGTTGTAACAGAAACAGGAGGGGTACAGAGAAGGACAGCAGAAATGGCTAGAGGAACAGAAAGACCGCCATGTGCAGCGTTATAGTTTAGAAAGCAGACAAATAAAAGGTAACGTGATAGAAGCATTTAACGAGTGGTGCAGAGAAGGGCATTAGATGCTTCCTATTTGCTCCCGCATAACACTCAAACAAGGAACACCAATGAAATAATTGGAAACACATTTAAAACTGGGAAAGGAAATACTTGTTTTGCTTTACACAGTGCATAACCAAAGCCAAGAACTTAACAGTATCTAAAAAGAATGAGACATTGGTATGAATAACAAGAACAGCCACATTTACCTTACATTAAGATAAAATAAGCATAAGGGATATAACTCTTTATGCTTTAGGGCATAGCACAGCCACTAACTGCCTGGGGCTTGCAAAGTACTTCTCCTATGTGCAGGTTATTCCATGATTTCTCTGAGATGGGGTATCTTGCACCTTCCTCTGAAGCATCTCTAATGGGATACAAGGACCACTCGTCTTATCCAATACGGCAGTGCCTGTGTCTTCTATGTTCCTAATTACAATGTGAGACTTTATTCACTTTCACTGGATGAAGTTGATTCTCTCTGGCATCAGATGAGGATGTGTCATCCTCTTCAGGCCCAGCAGAGCCAATGGAGCATTGACCTGCGCTCTCAGCTTCTGGATGGGAATTCCAGCTGAGCTCTGGTTTAAAAAAAAGAAAAGAAAAAGACCTCAGCTTTAAAGCCAAGATGAGGGCAGGTGACAATCCTAAAACCTCAACTTCTTCCTAAGGATCTGGAGTGTATTGTGCAGAGAGAGCGCCCTCTTGCTCTGTACTCTTCAGAAAGGGGGAACTGTACAGAATCTTTGGAAAAGAGGTCAATTACGTAAATTCCAGAGGTTCCCCTGAGTCCTGAGAGCCCTGGGAACTGAGCAGTCCTGTCCCAAAGGTGCTCTCTCTCTCTCCCTACTTCCCAATCAGGCACACTTGAGTAATTGTTGCACTCCAGAAATAGTGCAGTACATTCTGTAGCTCCACAGCACTCACCCAGAATCTAAATAGTGATAAACAATTTAATTTGTTTGGCTTTTTTATTTCAAAGCAGCCCTGTGCAGCTGAGCAGTAAAGTAAGCAGAGGGCTTCACAAAAGAGCTTCACAAGATGTATTTTTAGGATTTAATTGGACTGAGTGCAGACTAGCACTTCCCAGGGCTCAGGCCTGCAGCTTCATTAAATTTCTATGAACAAACAGACCATCTGGTGGTGCAGGATCCATAATTTTAAACCATATCAGGAGATTTCCAGGACCCTGGCTCATCTATTTTTTAATACTCCAGACTGACTGGGGATGAGGAACTCAGTGGCAGGAACAGAAAGCCTTTTTGCTTCATGTGAGCATTTTAGTAAAAACAGCCAAATTCTGAGCTTATGCAAGCAGGAGTCAGTGGAATTTTCAGTATTTTAAGTATTACCTACCCCAAGCATGAGTCATTACCCCCTAAAATTATGAGATTGGCTTAAAAACCATGAGATTTAAGAAAAATAATATATTCTGGGGTCTTTTGGGTTGCCTTGTAGTGCTGGAGCCTTTAGGGTTCACATTTTCAAGCTTCTCTCCACAGTCATGATGGATAGAAACTTTCTTTTTTTTTTTTCAAATGAAAGCTGAGCTTTTCACATAATCACCTGACTCCAGGAGCTGGGGCTTTAAGAAAAAACACCAAATATCACAAGATTTATGATTCTAGCCTCAGAGTTGCAGAGAAAAGCTTGAAAATATGACACCTAAAGATTCAAAAATTACAAGATAAAAGGAACTCCCAAATTATTAAGTTTTAAGTCTAGTGTATGATTGTCAATTGTATGATTTCTTTTCTTTTCTTTTTTTCATGGACTTGACTCCTTGTTTTTGAACACTTATGATTGGCAATCCTCTACTCTACTGTACTTTACTTCTGGCAGTGGCCAACACCCAGTTGCTTCAGAAATTCTGTGATCATATTCAGTTGTTCATGGGAGATAATTTATTCCTGACCTCTGCAGGCAGTTCACACCCTAGAACATGAGACATCTATCTCGGAGGAGCCTGTTTTACAAAATATAGCTCTTTTGCAGTAGCTGCTACACATGATTTTGAGGCTGGAGGTCACACACACAAATGTTTGTTGACTCTCAGGAGAAATAGCCATACACTGTACCCTGTCACTTAAGAAGCTGTGGAATATAATGACCTCCTTCTGCAGCTTTAAATCAAGGGTGACTTCAAAACAGCAACAAAGTCTGCTAGATTTAATTAACTTTCCCCTGTGGCTTACATGGCATCAGTTCAGTTACCAGCCACAGGCAATTACTAAAGAAAGGCAGCTTCTCTTAAATTTAATTATTTCCCCTGTAGTTTCCATGGTAAAGAGCTGAAGTGGGTACAGTTTGTTTTACTTCTGCTGTTGTGTGAGACTTGCAGTAGTGGTGTGTGAACTCTGTTATCTCACATGATGATGTCAACCACTGCCAGAGCTGAGACAGACCTGAGCCGATGAAATTCTTGCAGGAACACATCTGCAGTAGATGGATTCTTGAATCCATTACCAATTAAGGATCTTAAATCTCCATATACCTTGGCTTCTGGAAAAAACATTCATGGTAGGTGGGATGCAGAGATTGTGTACCGTCACATGAGAAGGGAGTGAGAAAGAAAAGCTTGAAAAGAAACTCCTATCAGCAACAGGAGGGCAGGATTTCTGTATCATTTTAGCATCAAACATATTTAACCTTATGACTGTGAAGCATACTGGCTCTGTGCAATGAACGGTATGAGAGAGACAGTGGGAATGCAGGGAACACTGAACAGACTGAAGAGAAAGGGTAGCTGGGGTGGATAAAGGTATGAAAATGCAGTTTGGGGATTTTATCATGAGTCTAATGATATTTGATGTTTTTCTTCAAGTCCCAGATCCTGGAGTCGAGTGTTTATGTGAGAATTTCACCTTGCATTTAAAACAATAAATATAGTTCTAGCCCTTGTGTTTGCAGAGAGAAGCTTGAAAACATGAACCACAAAGGTTCAAAAACCAGAAGGCAAATGAAAAGAATCCAAATTGTATTATTTTAAAATCTCATGATTTATAACCCCATCTCATGGTTTTGGAGGTCTGATATTGCATAGACCAGATCATCAGCTGGTGCAAATCAGTGTAATTCCATTGACTTCAATGTTGTCCCTTGACCTAGACTGATTTACACCAGCTGGAGATCTGGCCCAAATATGTGACCTACATATCCCAGGGGGAAGCAATGGTACCTAACTCTGTGTCTTTACAACTATACAGGATTTCTTATTCTTCTCTTCCCGCCACTCTAAAATATATTGCCTTGCATAATGACAGGTTTCAGAGTAACAGCCGTGTTAGTCTGTATTCGCAAAAAGAAAAGGAGTACTTGTGGCACCTTAGAGACTAACCAATTTATTTGAGCATAAGCTTTCGTGAGCTACAGCTCACTTCATCGGATGCATACTGTGGAAAGTATAGAAGATCTTTTTATACACACAAAGCATGAAAAAATGGGTGTTTACCACTACAAAATGTTTTCTCTCCCCCCACCCCACTCTCCTGCTGGTAATAGTTTATCTAAAGTGATCACTCTCCTTACAATGTGTATGATAATCAAGGTGGGCCATTTCAAGCACAAATCCAGGTTTTCTCTCCCCCCCCCCCCCCCCCGCGCACTTTCCTGTTAGTAATAGCTTATCTAAAGTGATCACTCTCCTTACAATGTGTATGATGATCAACGTGGGCCATTTCCAGCACAAATCCAGGGTTTAACAAGTGATCACTTTAGATAAGCTATTACCAACAGGAGAGTGGGGTTGTGGGGGGGAGGGGAGAAAACCTGGATTTGTGCTGGAAATGGCCCAACTTGATTATCATACACATTGTAAGGAGAGTGATCACTTTAGATAAGCTATTACCAGCAGGCGAGTGGGGTGGGGGGAGAGAAAACCTTTTGTAGTGGTAAACACCCATTTTTTCATGCTTTGTGTGTATAAAAAGATCTTCTATACTTTCCACAGTATGCATCTGATGAAGTGAGCTGTAGCTCACGAAAGCTTATGCTCAAATAAATTGGTTAGTCTTTAAGGTGCCACAAGTACTCCTTTTCTTTTTCCTAAAATATATGTATTCCATATTGCTAATAGAGAGACAAAGAGCTGTGCAGTAACATCACAGTATCAATTTTATAAGATCATTGTGTTTAAGTGTTTAATCTTTGACTAGCTAGAACACACCATTTATTTATTCCACAGTGTTTCCTTTCTCAGATGGTTAACAGTTGTACCCCTCTGTGTCTCCCCCCACCTCCCTCAGGCTTGCTCATTTACTTTGGCTACGGTATGTGGAACAGCACACTGGAGATCAGCGCCCGGGAAGAGGTCCTTCATCAGAGCACATACCAGCGCTATGATGTGGACGTTGACCCATTCTCGGTCGAAGAAGGCTTTTCCTATGCTAATGAGAGTGACAACTACCAGGACTGGCAGCCTTCAGAAGACAAAGGCTTCTCTTACCAGCAGATGTCGGAGGCAAAGGAAAGCAGTCGGACGAGTAGCAAATCGAAAAGCAAAGGCAAACACAAACAGAACTTCGAGGCCCTGATTGCAAACGATGAGCTCGACTACTCACCAGAATAGGCGTAACACAAACAAAACCACAATGCTATTTCTCACTAACCTAACCCTTGGGCTAGATTGTGAAGGCTTCTTTGGCTCTCATTTTAAATTCCATCCTTCCTAAAATTTCAGTGCCCAGAATCACATCACTTACTCACTCACTTTTTTACTCTTCAGGATAGTTCTATAAAAAAGTTTATCCTGAATTCTGAGATTGTCACATTGATCAAAACAAGCAAGTGACCCATTCCGAGTCCACCAGCACGGCCTATCTTGGTGAATGTTACCAAGAGGGCCAGCATGTGGATGGATTGGCTGACTGGCAGATTCTTTCTAAGTCTATTAAGCATCCTATTGACCTCTTTTGGCAGCACTGACAATGTGATTTAAATGAGAGATGTGCCAAATAGGGTGGGTTTCATGTGAGCAGTTACATGACCAGCTGATTGGTGGGGGCATGAGACATATTCTCTATGCTTTCCATAGAGAATATTTATCCCATGACTGTGCTGGCGTGAAGCAACGTATTTGGCATTTTCTTAGCAAGTATATTTTTTCCTTGAACCTATAGAAAGAAAACCTTTGCTAGAGAGGTGTAAGCACACTGAAGCAGTAAAACATTTCCCAAGGGAATCTCAGGAGTAGATTGAAAGTGGATCCAGGGATCTTAGTCTCACAGAGCAACATTTTCATCCTCCATTTCAGTACCATGGCAGTCACTGCACACATCATGACTAGGGATGAGCCTGAACCAAACCTCCTGAATCCAAACACCACAAGCTTTGGGATTAAAATGCAATCTCCATTGCTTGCACCACACTCTAGGACAGACCAAATCAAAACTTCAGATCCCAGCACACCTGAATTTCTCAGATCTGGATCTAAGCTTTATGGTTTGGGCCCATCCTTAATCACTCCTCATCTAGACTTAATTCATTCCTCTATAAATACTCATAAATATCAAACTCCATTTCTCTTGGCACCATAGGTACCAAGGCTTGGACTCCATTTCCATCATTGTGTGTCTTCTACTGATTCACTGATCCATAATAGTTCCCACTGGGCACAGTCCAGATTGTCATTCAGATTTCAGTTCTTCAGATAAAGTTTCTATTACTTCATGTCACGTCAGTCATTAACTTTAGGTCATCACTGGACAATATTTGTGGCAACTGTAGATAACGGGGCCATTGAAATCTCATTCCTTGCCGTAAACTATACTTTGTATTAAGGATCCTTACCTTGTATATGTTTTTGAGATTTTTAACCAATGGACTCTTGGGTGCTACTATGAAAAATACTGAAGTGCAGCTAGTGACTGTAGTTAATGAAATTCCATAGGATCACGCCTCACTTTGAAACCAAATGGAATAGGCAAAGGGAGATGGGAGTTCATGTAACACAAGGCAGGGATTCTTAGGAGATGAATGTTTATTGAGAGTTAATCCACTGGCTACTAGTAGAGAACTGGCCCAATCCTCTCACTCTCACCTGAGCAAAACTCCCAGCAATGTGAATGGGAGTTTTGCCTGAGTGAGGACTGAAGGATCAGACCCAATAGGAATAACACAGCCTCCTCATATCTAATCACAAGCATACTGGGCCAAACTCACCTGTGGTGTAACTCCACTGAAGCCAGGGATGACTTTGGCCTGCTATGTCTTTTCCTTTTAATATATAAAAGAAACATAGTTAACTAAACTCTGGTAGGAATTGTTCTGACAAAGAAATTGGACATTTCTGAGTCACTTTCTCCCATCCATGTTTTTGTTTATTTAGTCATTTAATTGCAATATGCTCAATGCACCTATCAGTACTACTAGGCACATGTACACAATATTCAATCACATTAAACCCTAAAGCAATACAGAGTCATAGTGGAACACCACCCACCCAAACTGGCACTCACCTCACCAGAACAAAGCCGGAGATAGAGATTTTCCAAGCAGCCTTGGGGATTTAGATGCACAATTCAAATTGAAATTAATGAGTTGTGTCTCTCAATCCCTTAGGCAGGTTTGAAACTCTCAGGGACCAGCAGAGCAGTACATTCCAGGGTTGAGAGCCCCCTTTCTGAGAACAGTCTGCCACCAGCCCCCTGAATCACAAAACTATCAACTGGAGCATCCTGGATGACTTTGAGGTGTGGAATACAGAGGCAGAGAGTCTGGTTGAAAATCCTGGCCCCATTGAACTCAATGGGAGCATTGCCATTGACTTCAGTGGAGCTAGGATTTCACCCATTTGTCTCTGATGTAGCTCACACCCATACCATATAGGACTAATGTCTTCTTCTTACCATATTTGGATTCTAACAACTTTCAGAGCCAAGGAGAAACGTTTTATTGTCTCTTCCCTTTAAAAAACTCCTGTTATGGTTCTTATCACACTGTGTATTTACATAAGAACGGCCCTACCGGATCAGACCAATGGTCCATCTAGCCCAGAGTCCTGTCTTCTGAAAGTGGCCAATGCCAGGTGCTTCAGAGGGAATGAACAGCACAGTCAATCACACAGTCACCCATCCCCTGTCCAGTGCCAGGTTTACAATGGCACCAGTGGCTCCATGGAGCCGGGCCCATGCTCAGAAGGGACCCCGGCTTACTCCACTTGCACTGCACCCTGAGACCCCGCTCCTCCCACACCCACCACTTGCTCTTCTTGGCCGGCCTGCCGCCTGGCCGAGGACTCCTCCATGACCCCTGACTCCACCTCTCTGTTCCCTTCTGCCCCCTGGCAGGACCCCAGTGCACCTCTGGCTCCAGGCCTGTGGGGCCCAGCCTGTCTCCCCAGAGCTGAGCCGCCTGGCCAGTCTCAGCCTGGGGGGGAGGGGCAGACAGTGTCGGGGGCTTGGCTGGGCCCCTCCAGGCAAGTGCATCTGGGGCAGGCCTTGGCCTGGCTGATTGCACCACTCCTGAAGGGACAGAGCAATTCCCGGCCCCGGGACCAGCCCTGGCTGCACTGCCAGCTCAGCCCAGCAGACACAGTCCACTCCCAGCAGGGCCGGTGAGTGCAGCCAGGAGGCAGGGCATGGGGGAGTGGGTCTCTGGGGAGTCCGGGGGATTGGGGTGCTGGGCTGTAAGGGGGCAGGGAACAAGTGTGTATTGGGGCAATAGAGAGTCGGGGGGGGGAGTGCTGGACAGTTGTGATAGGGCTGTGGGCAGGGGAGTGCTAGGCAGGGGTGGTGTTGTGCAGGGTGCTGTGCATTTCTGGGGGAGGTCGGGGGGCACTGGGCATAGTGGGTCTGGGGGGGTTCTGGTCATAGGGGGAGTCGGGGGGGTGTCGGGCAGAGGGCTCTGTGGCGCGGCATGGGCTGCCCCCTTTCCCCCACACCCCCCCCCGAGAGGAAGGGGCATGCTGGCATCACAGGGCCACTGTGTGTGTGGCAACTGCCGGTTTGTAAATAGTGCCCTCACACTGGGCTGGGCGGAGCATGCTATGCCATGCCCCTGGCTGGCCCCTCGGTCTGGGGACTGATCTCCCCACGCCATGCTCCATTGCCTCAATGGGGGCCCACAACTATGTTTGGCACCAGGCCCACAAAAGGTTAATCTAGCCCTGCTCCTGTTGTCCACTTCCAGCTTCTGGCAAACAGACTAGAAACACTCAGAGCGTGGGGTGGCATCTCTAGTGTAAATTATTGATCAGCAACTTCCTTACAGATGATCCATTCCTAGCTCAATGGCCCATATAGCAGATCTGGTTTTAAATTATTGCAATACATGAAAAAAGATTTTTATCCAAAACCTATTTTTAATTAACAGCTCATATCAAATACATGAGAATGACTAGTCTCTTAGCTGCTGAAAGCTACAGGGCTAATTTCTGCCCCCTCAATTGCACCAGGGTAATCCAGCGAACTCCACTGACCTCATTAGCATTGCTCCAGATGTACACTGGTGTAATCAAGAAGAGAATCAGGACCACAATTCCCCTTGCTATTTCCTACCAATGCTTAGCAAAGTCACGACATGGTGCATAGTCAGGTGAATTTTACTCCTGTCACTTTACCATTCGAATAGGAAGACGTTCGCACCACATTAGCATGAACGTAGCGCCTTTAGCAAATTTTCGCTCAGATGGAATCAGAGTAAATAATGCTGGGGCTTGAGAGATACAGTAATTCAGACAAGTAAGGGCTTGACACTACAACACATGTATAAACAGTCTTTACTTACATAGGTAGTTCCATGGAAATCAGGGAGGTTCCTGGGGTGAGTTTAGGAGCAGGCCCTCCAGTAGGGGTGATTTTATGCCCAGCAGATACACTGCACCAGATCCTGATTGTGTGAAGCTTGGCCTGAGAACTGCACCCAGAGCACCCTCTGGACCAAGATAAAGCTGTGCCCAGATCCACCCTCTCCTTCTGGGGGCAAGGCCTGTGACTCCACCGCCCTCCTGCCATGTAAGGCAGTAAGGGTGCTAGGAAGAGGCCATGTCCTTGCATAAGGGGCAGGTCTTGCTTGCAGACCAACAGTTGAGGAGCTCAGCCAGAGGGCACTAAGCACCCCCCTACCTCCACCCACATACAGGAGATGGCTGACATCTCCAAAACAGAAGGGTGCCCATCAGCAAAAGAAAAAAACATACCCCTAGGTGGTCATGGGTGGGGGCCAGGAGGCAGCACAGAGCCCTTCATCCCATCCCCAGTAGCTCAAGGGTTCTGACTGAGCCCTTCTCTCTTTCACTGATACAGACCATTTTGCAGACCCAGATCTGCAGCAGGTTCTGCAGACCATGTGCAGGGGAGATAGAAGATCCACAAGTGACCAGTGGGGGATAATGGGTAGAACTCATTTGTGGGGGTTGGTGGCTCCAGGGCTCCAAAACATGTATCAGCTGCTTCTCATGCCTGATCTCCCAGACCTAAGCCAGGGCTGATCTCCTTTGAAGGCGAGAGAAATACCTAGGATCTGGGCCAGTATTAGTAGCCTTTGCATTATTATTTATTTGTTAGTATTGCCATAGCATCTAGGCACCCCAATCATGGAGCAGGACTCTACCATGCTAGGCACTGTACAAACACAGAACAAAATCCATACCTTAAATAGCTTACTAAGTACATATGCAGCTGTGAAGGTTCTTTCTACTTATTATAGGACTTTAAATAATCTTCCTTACCATTTTCATGCTGGTTAGTATAATTGATTTGTTAAGGACCAGCTGTGCTCAGCACTGTAGGAGACATAGTCCCTGCCCCAGAGAGTGTGCAGCTGGAAAAGGTGGATAACACAGAATGCTTGGAAAAAGCCAGAGGAAGGGTCTAATTAGAGTATTTTTCTCCCCTCCCCCTTTGAAAAATTACACATGCAGGATAAAAAGGAACATTGTAAAATCTGGGCACTAAAACCAGCCCCTTTTCCTGTCAAGGAAGATGGAGTTCTAGACAGAGGCAGAGGAATTGCTATGATCACTCAGCAAATCCTGCAGCTAGATTTACACCACTTGTCTCAGCTACCAACACAAGAGTAGATGACAGGTTCCATGCAATGCAATAAGGCGGCACAGCCTCAATGCAGCACAGATCACAAAAGTTCTTGTTCCGCAACTGTGTGGCACAAGCTCTAACCCCATTCCTGATAGACCTTAGTCAGCTAACTAGTCACACTTTTCTCTTGTGGAGCATGTGGTTTGCTTCCACTCCTCCAGGTTAAACTGCAGTAATTATCTCGCTTTTCCCTCTGAGATGAAAGCCCAGCTGGACACAGACTGTAGTCACCATTATGACTTTCTAACATCAGCACACAGCTAAGCTGAAATTTAAATGGGACACCTTGGAATGTCACCGGCCGTCACATTTAAAAACTTAAGACACATTGCAAGAAACTGCAAAGAGGAATAGATCCTTTCTTGATGGCGGCAGAAGAAATTAAATAACACTAGTATTCTCCATAAACAGGAACACATTTATTTATAATGTGACTCCCGGCCAATTTGCTCAGGGTGCTATACAAACAATTTATACACAGTAATAATAAACTCTGTGGTGCTGGAACCCTGCAGAACACCCACTGGCTTCCACAAGGTCAGGGAGAGAGGAAGGGAGGTTGTGTCCCTTAGTTTACACACAGAAAAAACACTGATGTCAGAGGGAGTTTTCTTGGCATAAGGACTTAATGAGAACTAAGGAAGGTCTTCAGGGTTTGGTCCATTAATCAATGATCAAACAGTAGGGAGTAGAACTAGGTAAAAATTTTCAAGCAAATAGTTTATTCACTGAAAAATGCAGGTTCAGGTCAACCAAATGGATTCACAAATTTGGGTTGAACTAGGTGAATAGTTTTGGCCCCCCAAAATGGGAATTGTGTTTCAACATTTTCAAAATGACGTTTGGATTTTCCATTTCATTTAGAAATTTAGCTAGTTATTTAAAAAACAAAAACACCCCAAAAAATAATTAAGAAAAACCCTGAAAACTAAATGAACTAAACTGAGCTACACTGAACACCGGTCACCAAACTGACAAAAATCAATTATGGACTCAGCTGTAGTTAGTAAGCAAAAAGAGGTCACTGAAAAAGGTAACTAGGACAAGGAACTTATTAGAAAGGCCAAATTCTAACTTTAGAAGCCCAAATATGCCTCCAATGTTACCTTTACAATTGCACAGCTGAGCTCACTAGCACCATGAAAGGTTCTGTCAGAGACGGACTTCAACCAAATTCCTTCAGTGTCCAAATATCTTCAAATTTGGGTGGAATTTGAATGTTACAGCTTCTGTGTTAATCCCCTATTTCAACAACTGGTCATAAAAATGTCTCTGGGTGGTATCTCTGGGACACAACAGCTTTTCTTTTCTTTCTTTTAGTTACTTTGCTACTTTTTAGCAAAATAAATAAATAAAAATAAAACTCTGGGGGCAAAACTGACTAACTGATCTTGCCAAAACTTTTACTCACCCTCTAAAACTTTTCACTTGTCGGTTCAGAGAGGCCTTTAAAAATTAACGAAGTATGAGATTTTCCAATATAACAGGCTCTTACCCTCAACTGGTCAATTTCAACTACCTAGTGAGTGACAAAGCCTTGGTGGAATAGCTGAATTCCAGATACAGATTTTGATGCTCCTGCCATAATGTGGGTAAGTGCCTTTGAGTAACCACACTGCAGTGGTGATGATGTTGTTTAAATCATAGTTAGTGGGGGAGAGAGGGTGTGTATGTCAGAAAGGTTGAAATGGTGCAGTGCATTAATGCACTAGCCTTCACACAATGCCCTGTCAGCCTAGGAAACTCATTGCCATGGGATGTTGTGAAAGCCAGAACTATAACTGAGTTCAAAAAAGAATTAGATAAGTTTATGGAGGATAGGTCCTCAATGGCTATTAGGCAAGATAGCCAGGGATGCAACCCCCATGTTCTGAGTGTCCCTGAGCCACTGACTGCCGGATGCTGGGAATGGACGACAGGGGATGGATCACTTGACAATTGCCCCGTTCTGTTAATTCTCTTTAAAGCATTTGGTACTGGCCACTGTCAGAGACAGGATATTGGGACCATTGGTCTGACCCAATATGGACAATCTTATGTTCTAGCTTTTATCCTCCTGAGACCTAGGTTAAAATCCTGGGATAGGTAACAAAGGAAAGTGAATGTGGTGGTCTCATCCAAGTCCCTGTTCAGCATCTGTCCACAGCCCAACTGACAAACTGCTGGAGACAGAGTCCCAGAGCTAGAATGCCAGGAGAGGGGGTTGTAGAGCAGGATTGAGGTTCAAAGGCAGATGTGTGTGAAGGCTGCACAGCACTTGCCCATGCTATGCCAGGCTCAGTTCAGTGCTGTATCCTGTACCAAATTCACCTAGGCAATTGAAAGTTGCTGTATTTGCACCGTAAACAAATTTCATATAAAAACCCTGAAGGATTTTGGATACATGCACTCGAAGTGCATGGGAGCCATGTTTTAATACACACATACACATTCATTCACAACAACTTCCTCAATGAAACCAATGGGACCAATTCTGCAACCCTTACATCCCTGGTACAGGGGATGGATCACTTGATGATTACCTGTTCTGTTCATTCCCAATGGGGTACCTGGCATTGGCCACTGTCGGAAGACAGGGTACTGAGCTAGATGGACCTTTGGTCTGA